TAGGCTATTACAAGTGTGATGGGGTTGGTCATGTCAGCAAAGATTGTTCTCAGGGGAAAGCCCGTTATGTTTTCACTGTGATCAGGTGGGCCACAAGAAGGCCGACAGTCTGAGGAGGAGGGCAGGAGCCCAGGCAGATAGGAGTCAGGCCCTGCAGTGTTAGACAGGAGAAGTTAGGACTCCAGTAGGCGATGTTGTGGCAGGTTGGGTAATTGTATCCCTGGTTTATTTGTTTGCTCCTGTTGGGTTAGCTCATCAAATATTGTCATATTCCAATTGCATACAGTGAATTACTGAGTAGTTAGTAAAAGGTCGTTCCCCTTTTTTTGGATTGGGGTGTTTAGTGTTCTCTTGGTTCGTAGTGGAGATCGGTAAAGGGTACTATGTGGAAGTCCTATGGTTAGTTTCATCAAGCAAGTCCACCCGTATCGATGGGATATAGTGGTTTTATCATCTGTTCCGGTATGATCGGCGGTAGCCTATGGGAGAACTTATGGGTTCTAGCAGTACTAGAACTAGGAGAGCAGTGGTAGCAGGAGGATACGGGTGTTAGACTCATAGGTGTTTGGTTATTGGATGTTCAAGAGAATTATACTTTCGCATGGGTTGTGTTCGGTTAGAGCTCAGTGGTGCTGCGGGAATGGAAGTGGGAACGAGGATTCGTCAGTCAAGGTAAGGATTAAGGCCTCCAGTCACCAACATGGGAGGTGGATTGAGATATCAGGCTAGACTGGATTTCAAGGGTGCTCTTCAAGATTTCAGAGGATGGACGATCTTAGGATTTGACTAGTAATTGGTCACTAGCATGGGTAAGCACAAGTTGTCGATAGTGGACTATTAGGGAGTAAGAAGGATTGGGAATCCTTCAATTCTCACATGCTGAAGACTTAGTCAAATCTACGTGGGAGAGAATCGATCTAGTACTCAAGAGCAGAAGTAGGAGTGAATCTAGGATGATTTCGAATCCCCTTCAGGGAGGAAATCGGTCGATTGGACATCTAGGTTGAGGATTGTGTGAATTGGGAGTTCAGAATATGTTCCAAGATTTGGTTCACGTTTTTCCTTGGCATCGGATAGTAGGTTTTGGGGACTAGGTTAGAGCTCCAGTTAGGACTCAAGTTCAGTTGAGTGTTAGGTCGAGTATGTGTTCGACCCAGTATGGAAAGTGTTGTAAGACTATGGGGGTACCGTAACATTCACAAGCGGTCAGATAGTATGAATAGTGTTGTAAGACTGCGGGGGTAGCCATAGCATTCACAAGCGGTCAGATAATATGGAAAGTTTTGTTAGACTGTGGGGGTAGCTGTAGCATTCACAAGCAGTCAGATAGTATGGCTAGTGTTGTAAGACTGCGGGGGTATCCAAAGCATTCACAATCGATTAGATAATATGGAAAGTGTTGTAAGACTGCAGGGGTAGTCGTAGCATTCACAAGTGGTCAGATAGTATGGACAGTGTTTTAAGACTGCAGGGGTAGCCATAACATTCACAAGCGGTCAGATAATTTGGGAAGTGTTGTAAGACTGCAGGGGTAGCCGTAGCATTCACTAGCAGTCAGGTAGTGTGGGAAGTGTTGTGAGACTGTGGGATGACACGTAGCATTCACAGATTCTTTCAGATGATTAGGTCAGGGTGGTCTAGTTCGCAAGATTATGGGTAGCCCATAGCATGATTGGAATCAGAAAACAGTAGGTTGTTGGAGATTAGGCGAGATGTAAGACTATAGTCGTTCTAGTAGCATTCACTTTTCGTATTAGATTCAATGGCGACATGTAGTCGGACTTTTATGATCAGGTAGATCAGAAGGAATAATGGATCCAGGAGTGGAAATATGGTTAGGACAGATTTCGATAGCCAAAGTTCTCCTCAGAAGTCATGTGGGGCGACTGTGAGGTTGCTCTTCGCTCAACAACCAGGTCGGGCTATAGTATTCTAGATTAGTTAGGACCACGGAGGTCTCGGTGGATTTTGGATGTAACCAGAAGGCAACCTACTATTTCAAATAGTTTCCATGTTTAGGACAGTAGTAGTGAATTGGGGATTCATGTGTGTAGAGTATCTTGATGATCGAAGGTGATAAACCACTTGTAGTTAGGATTAAATAATCCAAGAGTAGATGATTTGACTGTGTTATGCAGCTCCCATCTGAGTCTAACCGTTGCAGGGAATGAGTCTCCTACTTGAAAGATTATCTGAGCCTTGGCAAAGTGTAAGTGATTTGTGGGGATAATTGGGTTTGTGATTCTATTTTCTAGTGGGAACCTCGAGTTATCAGAAGTTGAGTAGTCAGTTGGGAGATAAGTGGACTGGATTTAACAATAACGATTCGGTATGGGCGGTCTGTTAGGGAGTTGGACCATCTCGAGACTACAGATTTCAGACTGAGTAGATGTGATCATGTTGCAAGAAATTCGTTCATTTGTGGGTTTTAGAACCCTGCTAGGGATGGTTTTGGTTGCCTTGGAAAGGCTAGGTTATGCTCGGGATCGTGGCCATGTCATTCAAGTTGTCTGGCGTGTAAGGAATCGTAAAGAACGATTTCGAGGACGAAATCTAATTTAAGTGGGGGAGAGTTGTAACACTATTTTTATTAAATAAATAAATAGTAAGCCCTAAAATCCTGAGATGTATTTTATGTATTATTTTTCTGAAGCCCTGAAGCCATAACAATTTTATTAGTGTTCGTCTTGGGAGCTAAATGTTATAACTTCGGGAACTTACAATCTAAATTATATCCATTGGACTTGTATTGAATAGATTATTGGGAGCAGGGGATAAAGGGTTAACATCTGGAGCTGGATTGTAAAGATTTCAGAAGATAGGGGATGACTAGTAATATATATGGACTTAAGTTGAAAGTAATTTGTAAAGGAGAGGATATTTGGTTACATTCGGACTCAATTTGAAAGAAAAGGGTTGGGGTATTTAACCCTTCACCCTCGTCCAACACTAATCCTAATCACAGATTCTCCAACCGCCACCCTCACTACCCTCATCCTCCAGCCGCCAAACCCGGTTTCTACACCTCCGGTCACCGTCGCCGTTGTTGGTCCGGAGAACCACCGAGCCAAGTACCTCTTTCGTCATTTCTGTTAAGGCTGAGGACGAAGACTGGCGTTGGAACATCATTTCAGTCGGGAGTGAAGAGGAACGAGTCACAGTTGCCATGTCATTGTGGTTGCTGGTGATTGAAGACGCATCCATCGCCAGACGCCGCGACTATCATTGTTGCTGAACAGTTCGCTTATTCTCCTCCCGTTCTTCTCCGATTGCCGTCATTCCTTACGGTGGCCTCCTACGAAGTTTTTTCTTGTCGCTGATTTCTCGAAAATAGCTTAGTCGGAGGTGCCTTTCGTGTTATAGCTCGTGTTCGTGTGTTTCTGCTCCATCGTGAAGTGTAGATGGGTGCTCGCTAGACAGAAAAACTCGAGGAAAACCACCATGGCTGCCAACCATGGTGGCTGCCGTCGCTGCTTCCTACTATCTCGTGCCATCACCACCAGGTGGGTAGCTGGATTCATGTTACGATCAGAACGTGTGTGTTTGTGTGTATTTCTGTTATGATTGTGTGTTGTGTGTGGTGTTTCTTAGCTGGATTTCATGAGAAAAGCCACCACTACCATCGTGAGGTGTTGGCTGCCACCTCCAACTACCGCCTATCGCCACAAGGGTGGCTGGGTGTGTGTGTATGTGTTATTTATGTATGTGCATTCATTTGGATATTACATTGTAATATTTTATTTTGGTTGGAATAATCAAGAAAATTCATAACCACCACCGTGAGCCGTCGTTGACCACCACAAGCCGAGGTGGTAGTAGGTGGTGCCCGACTTAATTAACAATTAATTAACCTAAAATCTTAACTAATGGACTAATTGGATCGTGATTGGTTTGGAAACCCTAATTTTGAATATGTTAATTTGGAATTGTTGGGACCCGCATTTTGGACCTTTGGATTGAAGTTATGAATTAAGCTCGATCACGTTGTATGTTTGACCTAATAGAGTGATGGACTTAATGGATTAAATCCTTAATGGGTTAAGTAAGAAACATTTAATCCTTATCGTCATTAATCATCATTTTATGTGAAAACCCTAATTTTTCTTGGGCCTTGAGTTAGGCCTTTCTGTTGGGCTTTAGTGATTGGGCCATTAATGGGCCATCCAAGAACAAGTATATGGACTAGAATATTTTGATGGGCTTTAGGGTAAGACCCATGTGAGGGGTTTTGGGCCCAATTTGGAAAATTAGGTCATAGATGGGCCATAACTGGGCCTTGAGGATTATGAGAGGTTGGACCATTGGAATGTCAAATGTTTGTACTGGAAAAAATGGTTGGGCTTTAGGGTAAGACCATGTAGAGGTTTGGGCCCAATTTGGAAAATTAGACCACATGTTAGGCTTTGGTTCATTGTTTGACTTTTAGGCCTTTGGATTAGGCCTTGGGCTTGAATCAAGCTATGTTGGGGGTAAAGTAGTCTTTTACCCCAATCATGGACTTATGGTTATGATTTGGAACCTGATTATTAATTGGGTCTTATTTTGATGTTGACAGTTCGAAAATCTATCATCCAGCAGCTTGAGTTTTGTCCGCAGGACTTCAACAGCGTGAGGTGAATTATCTTCCAATAGAAGTGGGTCAAAGGCACAAATGTCGGCCCACTAGTAGTTTTTTATAGTTAGATGATTGTCTTTGCACTACAAACAAATTGATATTTAGTGGCACACACTTTTAGTGACATTTAATTTATGCCACTAAATCAAGCCTTTAGTGGCACATTTTAGGTGTCACTATAAGAATTAATGGGTTTAGTGTCACTTTACACTTTAAGCCACTATAAGTCATATTTATTAGTGACACTTTACATTTTATGCCACTAAAAGTCATATTTATTAGTGACGGTCATAACTTAAAAATGAATCTAAGAAAATTTATATGTTTTAATTAGTTTAACTTTTATGCCACTAAAACTAAAAAAATATATTTAATTTTTGTTCCCCTCGTTGTTTTCCTATCCGGTGCTTTTCATTTACATTTACATTTTTCCCCTCATTTAAGTTTCAACCTAGGGCTGATAAGTGGTAAATACACTCTGAACTCAATCGCTCTATTCCATCATCGGTGCTTTAAACCCCATCGCCGCACCTTCAAGTCATCGCCCTCACTAATGTACAATTTTTCCGGTCTTCCTCGCCCACCAACGCCGCTGCATTTGCTTCATTCTCCTCATCTATGCTTTTAATTTAATAAGGTAATACCTCACGAATTTTCTTCCTCCTTCACATTCTCCTTAAATTTTTTCATGTATTTTGATTAAACCACTCGATGGAAACCTTTTTAGTATAGTCACATAGTTCGTTCACCTACTCGGAAATATGTACGATGCTGAGGTCATCCTCAATCGATACCTGGAATGAGCATGGTTAGATTAGAGATTAGTTACAAAATGCGAATCGTTCAATTTTAGAAATCGATACCTGGAATGAGCATGGTTAGATTGGGAAACTTGTCGACTGTTGGAAAGACACGTTGACTCTTAGAAGTCATCAACTCTTCTGATTCCCTGAACTATTTTACACACTGATGGTTTGATTTCCTATTCTAAGTAGTGTAAACATCTCTATAGTACTCAACTTTAAATCATCTAGTACAATCATCCTTCTTGCCATAGATATGTTATTAATGTGCTTTTTTTCTTTGAGTGAGTATGAAAATGTTATTAGGGTTTAAGCATTGTTTCTATTATGGTTATTAAGAATTGTTTCTGTTATCAAAGTTCATGTTTTGAATTAACTCACAGATTATTGTTCTTGTATTCATGCTTTTCTTATTAAGCATAGTTACCTTATTCTTTCTGTATAAAATGAACAAGGGATCTGATGAAGGATCTGAAGCAATTGATTTCTCAAACTACAATGCTATCAATCAACAGTCTTTGCAACATGAGACAGGTACTAATATTCAAGCATGTTCTAAACAAGGATTTAAAGAATGTATTTTCTCAAACTATAATGTTATTGTTTTGACAAAACCTCCCTATTTTGTTCCAACATATTGTGTATTTATGTGGTGTGTAGTATGGGCATGTGTTTATAATCAATTTTAATTGAAGAAATGGCATTGTATATTCATTTTTTTTCCTATTATAACATTGTACTTTGAAAAAGATTGAAAACACAAGTTATTTTTGCAATAATAAATAAATAAATAAATAAATTCAAAGTATGGTGTCCTAATAAGAAAACAACTATGAGTATAAGTGTTTAATGTTGTGATAAAAAGAAGTTAGATAAGATGCTATAATAAAAAGGTAAATAAAAGCATGATGTTATATCTTATTTTTAACCATAACAGCATCAAGTAATAGTTGTCCAAATTAAGCATATTTCACTAAAAGTATATAACTTATGCTAATAGTTGTCCAAATTAAGCATATTTCACTAAAAGTATATAACTTATGCTTAAACTGATTGAGTAATAGTTGTCCAAATTAAGCATATTTCACTAAAAGTATATAACTTATGCTTAAACTGATTGAGTAATAGTTGTCCAAATTAAGCATATTTCACTAAAAGTATATAACTTATGCTTAAACTGATTGAGTGTGGCATCTGCTGGCACTGTTTTAAGTTCTGGAGCAGCTAATTTAGAGTATCATAACTATGCAACTCCAACTGCTACATACCCGAACAATGATCCATATGGATATGGAAACATAGGATATGCAGGTTACTCTAGTCGTAGCTATCAGCAGTAGCAACCAAATCAATAATACCCTCAACAACTTATGTTCACCAATATCCAAACTACACTATAGATTCTAATGTTGCTTATACTTCTGTGGCATCTGTACAATATCAACAATATTATAATACTCATGTGGCATTTGTACAATATCGAAAAAAAATCATACTAATAGAAACAAATCCATCATTATAAAAAGTTTCAAAAATTTTAAACCAAACTAACAAGGACCAAAGGTGCTAGTCCAAAACTTTTTGGACCAAAAATAGTAATTTTCAACAAACCACATAAGCCATTTTTGCTGTTGTCTACAATATATTAACCTTTTTTTTTATTAAATGCTACTTAAAATAACTTTCATATTATAATCTTACTAAAAACTAAAAATTCCCAAAAGCTAGTCAATGCAAATAATCCCACATGTTTTTTTTTTTTTTTTCCGTACTTAAAATCACCACAAGACAACCAAAAAACATATCCCATCAAACTCCATTTCAAAAAGTCGAACAACCCAGTTAGCAAAAGTATATATCATTGAAAATGAAATTCACACATAAATCAAGTAATAACAGCAGTTGAAACACAACGAAATATAAATTTTATGAATATCGATTCTTCTTTTCTTTATCCACATTACAC